GGGGGAGGGGAAGGAGAATGGCTTACAAAAGCCAGTTTGAAGATTAAATGTAGGCAAATGGGTTCTTGTGATTTGGGGCCAGAAATCACCTGTCAAGATGAAACTCATGTTCCCTAGACCTGGGGACTCGAACACATAAGAAAACAGCTATGCAGCAAAGGTGAACTATGAGTTCACACACACACACACATTTAATTGAAAACTTCTATTACAGGTTAGAAATTCCCCAAAAGTTTGAAAAAACAGCTTTCCAGTGGTGGCTGATTGAGTTATGCCCATGAATACCAATTGGTAAATCTTGCTGTATGTATAGCCATGCTCCACAAGCACGGTGCAGTTGCATATCTCTGTGCATCCTAGAGTTTTTTCCTGTCGTTTCCATTACTAGCAGGTAATCCATGAGAACTGTTTCTACTTTTTGTTAGTTTCCATCAATTTTTATTTGCTGCTTTAAATTTTCTGTGGTCTTTGAAAATACATAAGAAAGCTCCCTCAAATTGTAGTGAAAACAGTATAAACAGGCTCTGAGTGGAATGAGGTTTGTTAGCAACTACTTGGTTTACCTGAGGCATTTATCAATACTTGTAAGTCCATGGTTATGTTTCCCTGTTTCATGCTTCAATAGGACATTTAGTCTTATTGTCATTGACCTCATGAGTAATAGAAACTGGAAAAATATGAGTAGAATCGTCTATGCTATTCATTAGCACCCTTTTATAAACTCAAAGGAATCCTATTACACCTTTGATTCCATTTACTGTTTCTTTGCTTTCCCTTGTTTTTCTTGATTTCTTTAGCATCTGTGTGAATGCACCATTCTATGTTTGCTGGTGGGTCTGCTTTGCTTCCCTGCCCTTTGCCCACCTGTGGCACCACCACCTCTGACAGTCTCCTCTCCTTTCTCCTTAGCTATCCCGAGCTCCAGTGTGCTCCCTTCTGCTCCCAGAGACGTGGTCCCTGTCTTGGTTTCCAGCCGGTTCATCCGTCTCAGCTGGCGCCCACCCGCAGAAGCAAAGGGGAACATTCAAACCTTTGCAGTCTTTTTCTCCAGAGAAGGTGACAACAGGTAGGTGCCACCAGTAAAACTGAGCCTAATCTTCCATCTCTTTAGATGTACACTGTAGCATACTGCTGGCAGGAGATCTTGGGCAGGGACCCTGGAGACCCTGTGGATCTACTCTGTGTCCTTCACTCAATACTAAATGGAGACTTTATGTCTTCTTTGCCTGTATGTGTGTCTGTGTGTCTGTGTTTTAAAGCAGGATTGTTTATAGAATCTTAAATAATTTATAGAAAAATTCCTTGAAAAGAGACAAGCATGTGAATATATGATATCAGGGTGTGTGTTTTATTTTTGTGTGTGTGTTTTTTTCTTTTCAAAGTGATAAACAGAGAACAGAATTAAGCTGTATATTTATGATTGATGGGACAGGGTCTGAAAGACCCACTCTAGCTAGGTTGCAATCTAAACTCTGGCACTGACATCACAAGACCTTAAGACAGTTTCTTGAGATCCGGCCTTGTGATCATAAATTCTCTGAGCCTCACTTTACTTTGTAATACAGAGAAAATAATTATACTAACCTTGCAAGGTTTTTGTTGTGATTAAACTAGGTAGGTTGCATTTATAAAGGTCATACAAGAGCATCTAGTAGTTAATGGAAGTTGTTAATATACATTATTACTGACTAGGCAAAAGTGAGGTGCATGTGTCTGGTTTCAGGACTACAATCTATTATGTTTTTTCGTCTCAACATCACCCCCTTCAAATCTTCCATGATTTTAAGACTTTGAAGTCTTACTTATAAGCTAAGGTAGAGATTGGACAAATTCCAGTCTCTCTTATAAGAATAAACTGTGTAATATCTCTTCTTCTTTCTTCAAATTTATTGAACTGACTTACTATGTATTGCATATTTGGTTATTCTAATACCTGTCATCTTTGTGAGTCTGGTTCTGTGGCTTGTTCCCGCTGACTCTCCCTCTTAGTGGCTTCTTTCCTCCCACGTCAAGGTGATTCTGGATTGTTAACTCCAGTCCTTAGAAGTTTATCCAAGGCAATTTTTAAAAAAATATCTTTATTGATTTCAGAGAGAGGAAAGGAGAGGGAGAGAGAGACAGAAACATCAATGATGAGAGAGTCATTGATCGGCTGCCTCTTGCACGCCCCTGACTGGGGATCAAGCCCACAACCCGGGCATGTGCCCTGACCGGGAATCGAACCCCGATCGCCGGGATCCTAGGTCAATGGTCAACCGCTGAGCCACGCCCGGCTGGGCTATCCGAGGCAATTTTTGAGGCCAAAGTTTAAAGTACACTCTCCTGGGAGGATTTGTCTTACCAAAATGAGACCACATTAAACAAAAGTTTTGTTAAGGATAATTTGGCCCATACAGGTCTTGTACTGATATTTGTGGTTATCAGAAAGTCCATTAGATATGATAACATTTGTTTTTCTGCCATTTTTATACATCACCTCACATGAGTAAAGGCAGACTTCTGGTAAAGAATTCTCAGGAAGATTTTTCTCTCCTGTTCCCACTAAGCTAAGGCTGAGACTGGTATGTATATTGTTTCACCAGTTCTCTTGTGAGCATAATCCATTTTCTAGTTCATCTACTGAGGTTGGCTCTTGCAGGATATTGACTGTACAAGATGCTCTCATCAGATCTTTTACCCTACTTTGTCTGCAAGCTTTATTTCCTATTCTTTTCTCCTGTTGCTTTCTAACAAAAGAGATTTTTAATAATTTATCCAACATTTTACGTGTGCTGTAAAAGCAGAGATTTTTTTTTTACATAATATCCAGTTTGCTGTAATGTTTGAAATGGAATTTTGTACTATTTGTCAAATGTCCCTGTATCATTATTATAGATCATTAATTATCAACATTTGAACATGTACATTTTAATATAAGCATGTTCAGTGTTTGGAAAATTTTATTTAAGATTAAAGCAAAGCCACTCTGTAAACATCTCACTTAGAAAGAATCAAAAGATGATGCCCTCTTAATGGGCCTTTCTATTCTATTTCTTAGGCATTCTGTTAGATTCTCTCCTCCTCTGGACCTTTGGGGTTTCTATAATGCCAATTAAAGGTGCGCAAAGAGATCAGCGTGTGAAAGCTCAATTTGCTTCAGAGAAACACCGTGTTGCCAAATCCCTGTGTTCTGTAGAGAAGAGCACTTATTTACAATGTTCTCCATGCGCCTCTCAGGGAGAGTGGCATCATTATGTTCTTCAGTAGATGAGGGCTTTTATAAGGTCTTCATAAAGTGTCTGTCTGTTGACTGGGTCGAGTTCTAAGCTCCACATCTGTTCCTCCGTACTAAACCCCCTGCTGTATATAACCAGCCTAAGGTGAACACCACTAATAGGCAGGGTTTCCTGGGATGTGGTAGCTTCTTCTTTCACCCTTGAATAAGGACTGTTTCACTTTCTATAAAGTAGGACAGCCAAAGGAAATGTAACCTGTTTTATGCATCTACACATATGGAATAATTTGGGGGAGGCGCCATGGGGGAAGTAGAGAGGGTGAGGGAGAAAGAAAGGGAGTCAGAGGCAGTGAGAAATGGCAGGTGCCCGCTAGGCCCCAGTTGCTCGCAGGATTGAGCTCACCCCTGGCCATGGACCATCTTTCATTCTTCTGGAGAAAATGGACTAAGTGGCAGTTCCTAAGAACGTGCTAATAGAGAGCATGTGGGGAGAAGCAGGGATTCGAGTGTGAGGCTTCTAGTCTTTTGCATCTGTGAGTGCTTTAAGCCCATAGTGATCTTTAGGAACCCCTCGGGATTTGAAAGGGACAATCATCGGTTGGGCAGTCAGAGTGGTATTTCATTCAAAATGCTACTGTGTGATAATCAGATAGAATAGTACAACTTCTCTCCTGCAGTGCCTCGAAATGCGCTCCTTTCTAGTTCACAGCAACAGTTAAAGTGAATCTTTTTTCATGTTTCTATTTCTTTTATAATTTGACCTGACTTGGACATGAAAGGAAAGAAATACACATACACAGATAGCCTATGTTCCGTAAGATCATTCATTTCCACGAAGAAGCAGGCATTGGGTTTAGTCTTATCTCTGCAACTATTTAACTCTATGACCTTTTGATAAGTCTCATAAGCTCTTTGGATCTCAGTGTGCACAGTTGTGAAAACTGGAGGTAATAATTCTTGTCCAGTTGTCTTCACCTATATACAAGGGTTTCCTGGAGGCACCTTAAATTCAACGTGCCAAAAATCATACTCCTCACTGTCTCCTCCTTAAATATATTTTTCCTCCTTTTATTTGTTTTGTTTATGTTAGTTCCTTCCATTCTGTTGATGAAACAAAACAAAACAACAACAACAAAAAACACAGGTCATGTTTTTCTCCTCCCTGCCCCTCAGCATTGCTGTTAGCTATCAAGTCCCGTTGGGCCTGCCTTGGCCACAGCTGAGCCATGCCGCCTTTATCCTATTCCTTCCTCACTACTCACCTGATCTCTGATAATAGCTCTTCACCTTCTCACCCATTCTCCTCCCTGTCTCTAGTTATCCTTCTGAAACATAGTTTGGATCACTCACTCCACTGCTAAAGATGCAAATGTTCTTAAATTTAAACATAAATTTTTTATATAGAGACATGTTTGTAACTTCCAAACTCTGTTGAATAGAAGTATATCTCCAATCATCCTATAGAATGTGGTTCCTAAAGCCCGTAGTGGTTAAAATATTCCACTTAAGTCCAAATGGCTGGATATGGAAACGGAACTACTATTTATCTAATGTGTGACTTTTGTGTGTTTAATTATGTGAAAAACAAGAATAACGTTTGGCTGCTATCATTGACAAAGGGAAGATAAATTCTAGCTCTCAGAATTGCTATGATAATTAATTGAAAAAAATTCAAGTAAAGCATCTAGGGCAGTCCCTGCACATAGACAGAATGGAGGGGCTCAGGGCTCAGAATAGTGTGTACTCAGAGACGATATGGGGAAAGGGCTGAAAATAATGCTCAAAGGGTGGTCATAGTAATAGCTTTTTGTATGAACCATTTATTTTCATAAGTGTTCACTCTTTCCTGCTTATGATACCATTCTGTCCTTATGTGTTGAAATCTTTCTTACCACTCAACCCCAAGAATCAGCCCTCCTTACCCTACTGGCTTATCAGCCCCAGGTCATGCTGTGGCCCTCACCAACACCAGTCCTGGCAGCCTCCCCATGGTCACTGTTCTAGACTCTTATTTTCCTACCTTCTATTTAGGACTCTGGTTACAACAAATCTTTGATTCCACAGGGACCTACAACTCATTGATTCTGCAGCATTTTCATTGTTTGTCATCCTTCATGTTTTTCTTCACTTATTAAACAGCTGAAACTCCCGTGGCCAATCCTTTTAAACATACACCAATATTTTGCTTACTAGTCTCTCATTTCATATTAATTTCTTGGCAAAAACCAACTCAAGTAAATGTAATTTTGTACTTCGTCTTTACTTGCACCTGTGTAGAGGAATATAACTGGAAGAAAATAGATAACTGTGCTGACTGGTCTTTAAATTTGTAATAACTCATCTGAAGTTGCCCCTGAATGCTGTGGGAGATTGTATTACATATATTGGTCAGCCTGTCTCACACATGCTCCTAATGATAGTTCATGCCCTTTCCTCTCTCCTCAGGTCTCCAAGACCTTCCCTCTTTCCTTCACTCTTAGTTGACCATGCTTCTAGTTTCCTGGGAAATATATCAACCCAAGTGTGTATTTGAGCATTGGTCTTCTTTCAAACTTCTATAAAAGAACGGCTCAGGTTCTTACTGAAGTCCAAACCTTCACTCAGGCACTAAATTCCTTCTTTCCTTACAAAGAACAAAATGTCAGCTAGCTATTCTTTCACCTCATCAACAACTTTTCCCACTCTGGTGGATCATATCCATCAGCATACAAGCATGCAGTTGTATTTTCCATCTCAACAAATTTTCACTCCAGTTCCTTAACTCATATTTCAGTTGCGATTCTGTCCCTAGTATGTCACTATAACTCCTCTTATCAAGGTTTTCCAGTGACCTTTGTGTTGCTAACCCCAAT